CCCCAAAACCCCAAAACCCCAAAACCCCAAAACCCCTGGTTCTATAAAACAATTGATTATATTAAAACCAGTTCAAGTACAAAAATGAAGTCTTTAGTGCCTTCATCGATGGTGTTTTTCCCATCGACACGGCCATTGGCCACTTCTAAGTAAGCATATATGTTTGTAGCATTCATTTACCTTTCGGCTTAAAGTTTTACGCTAAATTCAGTGTAAATTTAGGAAATTTCTGAACATTTCAGAAATCATAAATTTTCCCAAAATTTGTCAATTTTGAAAAATTCACCCATTTTAAAAGATTTTGCAGTTTTGAGAAATTTATGATGAAAGAAGCAACATGAAAGAAATCTTTTGGTTGCGAACAAAATTAGAGCTATATTAAGAAAGCAAAGCCTGTCTTTGTTTGTAGGATTAGTAAAGAATATTCTGCATCCTTCCTAGTCCTTGATTACTAGTGAAAGCAAATAGTAAAACCTAGCCTAGTTCTTAGCAAAACTCATCCCAATAATAATAGCTTAAAGCTAAGGTTATTAAAGACAGTAGTCTTGAGAATTGGAAGAATTAATTTAGGTAGTAGTAAAAGTGTAAACTAACACTGTCTTAAAGTTATCAATCCTAACATGTTCACCAACCTTACCAGTATATACTTTAGACTCTTCCTTTTGGTAGGAAGCGGTGGATGCTAGATCTTCTCCTAATTCTGTGTAAGATAGCCTAGCTTAGCTTCTTAGAGAGCACTATAGAAATCGAAATAGTTCATATTAAAATACCATTTTATTTATCCAACTCTTGGTACAGATGCATTTGAAACTGTAAGCTCCGGAACTTACCCAAGGTGGAGTCACAAGTTAAAGCTCACTACAGGGCTGTGCTATCACAAAACTTGTTGACGCAGTAGGGTTAGGAGTTGAGATATCGCTTACTTTATAATGTTTTGGGGACTATTAGAGATGTATAACTCAAACCCAGATATATTGCCTTAAATTTAATCATTAGCTTATGGATAAATTCATTACATCTCTCATAAGAAGTATGATTAAATAGCCCAAGGGAAGGGTCGGACCATTAATGCCAATTCTTCCCTTTTTATAATTACCTTCTTTTTCATCTCCTGTTGCTGAAATTTAATTTTCTAATCTGCAGTGTTTATAATTATCTGAATTTATTATTCCCGAAGGCTATATACTTACTTAAGCAGATATCCTGTTGCCATGATGACAAACTCACATTCAAGAGCTAGATTATGTGGTTTGAATAACTTTCAGTACTTAATTCCCGAACAAAAATATCCATAATCTCCGCTCTGAGCTATTTACATAAATCGATTAGTTTATTAGCTTCTTTTTCCATAACTGCTCGGGATTACGAAAATTATGGGATGCTTGAAAAAGCATCATATTAGAACTTTTCACTCAGATTTGAATTATAAATAAAGCATGACCTTCACCACAGGCCGAAGAAGCAGAAATCAAGACATATAAGTAACCAAGGTAGTAGCAAATTGGGGAAAATGAAATTTAACATACGGGAGTATGCTAAGAGCGAACTTAAGCAACAAGCCTTAGAGTACTTTGATTACAAACGAAGGCTCCTCTCCTTCAGTCCAGATGGACTAGACCTCATGATGCCCCACCAAGTTGTATCAATTCATCTGGGAGAGTATATTTACTATTAACTAGGAATAGGGAACATGAAGAAAATTTATTCCCAGCAGATGAGCCTAGGAAGCATAAAGAAGAGGGGAGAAATTCTTCCCTCCCCAGCCTCAGGAATGGAAGCTTGGTCAAGACCAAGCATGCTAGGCTTAAGGAGAGGTAGGATTTTGAACATCCTAAAATGTTTCGTATTATTTCCTAACTTACCCATTTTCAACAGGAAATACGAATCGAAGAAATCAGAAATCCTCCGAAGAAATTACAAAAAGATGGGAGTCCTGACAAAGAACGAGAAGAAGAAAATTACCAATGAAGTCTTTGATAGGCTCTACACAAAGAAATTAACCAAACACGCTGGCTTCGAGGATCCTTTGGATCAAAAAGGAAGAGATAACACAAGGAATAAAAGATTCTTGCATCGGAGTCTTGACTTCGGATACAAAAAGACCATCATAAAGGAAGAGGCCACAAAGTATGATCACAAAAGAGGAGATGTCTTAAATCATTCTTCTTGGTTCCCTAGATCCCCTCTTACAGTCACTAAGGTAATTTTCTTCTTACATCAGTAGGATACTGAGAGTTTCAAAAGGAAGAGAGTCTCCCTATTGAAAAAGAAATCAAATACATCTTACCAAAAGATGATATCCAGAATAACTCAAGGAGGGTCTGCGTTCATTACTAAAAAGACTTTAAAGTGTCAAATTACAGGAATTACGACTAAGAACACCATGGCGTTTACTAAGCCTAGCAAGATGAATTACAGCAACACCAGGAAGTACTCGGATACCTCCAAATTCTCCAATGATTCGAATAATTTGCAGGATGTCATACCAGAAGAAACAATTGGACTTAAGCCTAGGGAGAGGAAGCAGGAGACTCCTCCCTACTCAAGCATAACCAAGTCATCAGATTCGGTAAACCCAGCTTCTGCTAATAAGAGGAAGACCAGGAGTTCTCTTAATAGACCAGCCGAAAAGGCAAAGAGGCTGCAGAATGAACAAGAGGAGGTACAACCAGCCAGAAAAATGACTAGGATTAATCTGAATGTATCTCAAAAGCCAAAAAGGACTAGCCTGAAGCATAAGAATTCAAAACTGAATAATGGTAATGTCAAGGATACAGGGGTCTCAGGCTTCAACCCTAATCAGGTTTCTAAAAATGAGCCTATTCTTATCACATTGAATCATTGTGACTAAACAGAGAACCAGAATAAATCAAAAGTCCTTTCTATAGCCACTTTAGCCTTTAGATAGGTATTCTCATAAAATTTTAAGACTTGAGTCTAATTGCAAACGCACGGATTAACCTAAATATCTAAGTACATTCTATAGCCTAAAACAAGTGGAAATCAATGAAAGGAAATTAAGAACTCAGCTCAGAAATCTCCTGAAATTAGCCTCAAAAATTACAAAATCAGGCTGAACAAAGCTTCGCCTTCTAAAGCAGATGCATGGTAAATTTTAGAAATTTAGCTTACCATTCTGTAAAGATGGCAGTACTATAGATAAGTCCTAAAATTTAAACTGGCCAAAAGTGAAGGGATTGACTTTGAACGTCGATACATAGGCTTGAGTGAGAAATTTCATAGCAAGCCACTCATCGATAGGGCATTCTCCTAGTAAAACTTAGCATGGATCGGATTATAGGCTTAAATATTTGAAATCTGTATATTAACTGAACTTTAATCAAACTAAATGATTTAGAAAAAGACCTAAGCTGATCAAAACTGAGCCGAAATATGCCAAAAACAATAGATCCAAAAACCCTACAACTCAAAAAGCTCATCTAAAAGCTCCAAAAATCTTCAAAAAGGCCAGAGCGGGGTCTAAAAAACGATCCAAAACCAGCCTATACTCCAATAACATGAATGAATCAGTTTCTTCTCATTCTGGAGATCCTAGTGCTGTACATTATTATGTATAACTTAATTTCAGACTTCAATCGAGAGACCCGTTGAAATGAGTGACAAATCAGAAGAAAGAAAGCTTCTAGATAGCTCACAAGACATCCAACCTCTTCTAAATTATGCTGGCCAATCTGAGAATACCTCTAATCCTAATTTTAAGCAAGAAAGCTTATCTATAAAAGAGGGGACTTCTTTTGCCGATCATAATATGAACCAAAAGAAGAATAAAGTAAGTAAATTGTTAATAATAACCTCAATATTCCTGCTTTAGTCTCCGCCCCTATTCTTGTGATAACCACTTTTAATAGATCGAAGATGCTCCAGATGACTCTCCTGAGACCCCAATCGATGTTGTGAATGAGAACACAAGTGAAGATAATAGGTACATACTCTTGTGTTTCGTTATTCCTGATGAATTCTCCATGAAACTTTCATAATTTGTCCTAAATTCTGACATAACTTATAGGCTTCCACAAAAGATTGAGCCCTTCTCAGCGATCCTACAGGAAGAGATTGGGCTGAAAGACAGCCCACAAAAAGCAAGGAAGAATATAGAAAGCATCAGTGGCGATTTCTCACGTATTTTCTCAGAGGAAATTAAGGAGAATCCAATTGAGCTCTCAGGGAAGCCCCAGAGTAAGTTCACTGATATTTTGGGTTTAAAAAGCGCTCTAATGAATGCTTATTGTCTATAGAAATCTTCAGACTTCAAAGAATCTCTAAGAAGCAAGGAAACCAGACCATCACTGCTAAAGATATGATCGCGGCTAAGCAGTCAAGCGAGATCCATGACCCAGATTCTTCTTTGTAAGTTTTAATAGTAACTTTGCAGTAAGACAGATTCAGAGATGGAGTCCAGCTGTGACCAGAAGCAGAGTCTTAATAGTGGATGTACCATGGGTGATATTGCCAAAGGCAAGAAAATAGCTGTGCTCTCGACTCTGAGGGCAAATGCAGTCCCTAGGTTCTCTGGGATTAGAGTCAGTCAGAATGAATTCAGGCCATGCAATGATGGAGAGTCTATTAAGACGTCCAAGTTTAAATCCCATGGTAAGCCAGATCTTAGATGCTAAAACTATGATAACTTTGAATACCATTTTATGATAAAATATGAAGCTGTTTCTTCATCAATAATTATGGCTGGTTTCAAATGTCAAATCTTGCTCATGAAAGTATCCCAGTGGTTGCCTCTGTCAGGATATCTATTAGTCCTCATTTCGAGGTTTATTAAGAGGTTATACTTCAAAAGCCTCTTCATAGAAGAAATTATGAGATTAAGCTTCAAGCAAAATCTTCGTAGCTTTCATATTTGGCAGTAATTTTTAAATATATGATGACAGTAACAAGCGTAATCTGTTTTGACTTACTGGAAAATATTTCAGGTTTCATCTTACAGGTCAACTTGGGAGAAACTCAGAGAGACTTCTATGGTGGTCCCGTATAGCACTTAACGATTTGTTAAATTTTGGAATAAGAGTTCTCTTGAAGAATTTCTTCATTGTAGATATCTTCATCTTTAATGTTTCTTTGGTAGCTTCTTTGAAATTTTCAAAGTGCTAATTATGAAATTTCTTTAAATTTTCTCATATATCACAATAGGCAAAAATTCAGAATCGACCAGTAGGAAAGCTTCAATGATAAGCTTCTCTCTCGGCAATGGTTCAAACTACAGGAATGTAGACAGGTAAGAACTTAATCCTTACTCATAGCCCTTGCTGTGCTCACAGACCTAACTTGGAGAACTGGGAGAGCCCAGGCAGTTTCATTACCAAATTTCACGTTAAAAGATAACCTTATTCTCTAAACCTTCAAAACATCACAAGTACCCTCTCTACACCCTTTTCCTCGCTCTTTTGCCCCTAAAAGTCCCTAAAAACTCTATTTTTCCTTCTGCAGTTTCCTAATTTAGGTCTAAAAATTCTTCATGAGCAGTCATTTTCTTAAAAAGCTCAATTTAACTAACAAAATTTTGAAATTTCCTTGTTTCAAATTTTGAGATTTGCCAGCAAAACTTAGATAGTTCTGTTTTGAAGGTGCGAAAATGGGTTTGGTCAATATTTTACTGCATTAATAGAGTTTAGATATCTAAAATCCAGGCAGAATGGCTCAAACTTGCCCAAAACTGTGAATTACAACAACTATCAAGCCCAAAAACATGACTCTATACCATCTACCAGATTTATTTTTTAAAAAGTCTAAATTTTCAACCCTCTCCTCTCAAACAGGGGTTTTGGGGTTTTGGGGTTTTGGGGG